GTGTGGTACTGTGGATTGAACCCAGGACCTTCTCACTGAGCTACATCTCCTGCCCTTTTTTAATTTTTTTACTTTGAGAAAGAATCTTGCTAAGTTGCCCAGGCTAAGCTTATACTTGTGATCCAAATACCTCACCCTCAGAGTGCTAGGGTTACAGGCATGCACCATGATGTTCAGCTGATTTTTTCTCACTTTTAACTATACTATGAGAAATTAGCATGATCTCTATTCTCTCAGCTTAATTTTTTCTCCTAGAACTATTTGATAATGTAATGCTTTTAGGCAGCTCTTGGTTTTCCTTGTCCTAAAATAGTTTCCCATTTATTATTTTTTAAATGAAAATATACTTAAAGAAGTGTGAATTACATTCAGCATGAATACATTTTTCAAAATTCACTGGACAGCTAGGATAATGAATATGTGAAACTACTGAGGATTATTTTATACTTTAAATAAAGAACTTTTGATATATCTACCTTTAATTTTAATTTAAGAATTTACATTGATTTTCCTCCAAATTATGAAAACATTTAATTATACAATCTATTTCTTAAATATAAACATATACATGCTACATACAATAGATGTTTTATACACATACAATGGCTCAAATTCAGGTTTTTGACTCAAATTGTTCTGACTTTAATGAATGATCACAGTACAGCATGGGAGCAAATATAATCACATTGGCACCTGGCTACTGTGCTCTTGACAAGCATTCAGTAAATTGCTGATTCAGCAAGGGCTTTAGTTCATGAGGTTCATGGCTTCCTGCCCTAACCAGCTGAGACAGAATTAGCACTGGTTAAATCATCCATGTCCTGCCGAGAGGAGTTTGTTGAGGGTAAGAGTCTGAAGGCAGAGATTAGGGAGTCCTCATCCTCCTAATATGCTGGGCATCCAGGATTAGAGCTCTGGGTCAGAGAAATCCACCTGAATGCAGACCTAAGCACCACTGTACTCCCCTACTTTAGGATTGATAGACATGCTCTGCCCTTAAAATCTACATTCCACTCTGCCCCTTAACTCAAGAGCATTTCATCTCCTATAGCAAAGTGACCTTACTTCATAGTTTGTCTGCATGTATCTAAAATGGAAGATAATATCCTGAAAATGTGAAAGTTAGTATTTAAAGACCTTTCTGCTTGATCATATGACTTTGCACCTCCAAAATGACAGTTTGGGAGCAACATAGATATGGAGCTTAAAGTATCTATCTGGTTGATAAGAGGAAACAGCTGGTTGACCTCAGAACATTTCCTTGAAAGTGTTCTGGCTATATTTGCTTTAAAATACAATTTAGTTTGGGGCAGTGAAACCATTCTGTACGATACAATAATGGTAGATAAGTTATTCTATTTTTGTCAAAACCTACATAATGTGTAGAAGAGTGAGCCCTAGGATAAACTAGCACTTTGAGTGATAAGGATGTGATAAGGATGTGTCACTGTAGGTTTGTGGATTGTAACAAGTATATGCTCTGGTACCGGATATTGAGAATGTGGGAGGCTGTGATATGTATGTAAGGAAAAGGGTATATGAAAATTCTGTACTGTCTGCTCAATTTTCCTGTGAACCTAAAATTGCTCTAGAATAAAAGTTTTAATTTAATATATATAAATAATTTGGTACAGACAAATGATAATAGAAATAAAATGAAAGTAGGCAATGTTTTTTTTAAAGACAAGTTGGGCACCAATATATATGATAATGATAAAAAAAACAAGTACTTGTTCACAAATTTGAGGATGACAAGAACCTGGGGAAGCTGAGTGGAGCTCAGAACTTTAACATGCAAGAATTGCAGATATCAGTGACTCATTGTCCTCCCCAGGACCTCCATGGTGTAGGAACATTTCTGAAGACATTGGGAATAGTTTGTCATTTAGGTAAAAATTCGGTGGGCTGATGAAGGGCTGAGGATTGGGCTAATTAAGAAACAATAAATTACCATGTTGGAAAGATAACAGAATTTTATAGGTTAAGTTCAATCCTTGTGACATTGTAAAAAGAAGGGAAAACAGAACTGGGAGCCATGAAGTCCAGAACAAATATGGGGAGCTAGGTTGTCACTCAGTGGTATAGGACTTGCCTGGCATGCAAGAAGCCCTAGGTTTGATCACCAGCAAGAAAAACAAACAATACGCCAGGGATTTAGCTCAGTGGTTCCAGCACCTGCTTCAAAAGCGCAAGGTCCTGAGTTCGATCCCCAGTAACAAAAGAAGAAAAACAAACAACAGAGCCAGCTATGGTACTAAGGACAGTTTTAATGGTACGGTAGATAAGGCTTGTCTTTAATGTTTCTTTTCCCATTGGCCTGTAGTGTTAAGTTCTTCACTTGCTTCACTAAACTTGTGATTAATAGTGAAAAAAGGGCTGTGGGAGCCAATGAACCCTACAGAGCTTTGCAGAAATATGCCTATGCCTGACAATCCTGGTACTTCAGAGGAAAGGTATTTGTGATTATCTAGTGGAAAAACATTAGAAGAGGACCATATTACCTCAACAGCACACGACACTGTTACTGCTCTACCTTACATCTCCCTAGCCCTCTTCTGAGTTCAAGGGCAACCATGGAGGTCATGTACCATCTCAGGCCCTGCATCTCCCTGCATCTCAGTCTGGAGATGTTCTTCCAAACCACAGGAGCTCGCTGAGTGAAGCTCGGGCATAACCCAGATGTGATGGAGAATCATGCTTTCAACCAAGGGCCATAAGAAATCAATGGATACATGACCACTTTTCATTCTTATTTGGGACAATTCTGAGGTGTGAACCACAAAGTTTCTCAGAGGATTCCCAGCAAGGCTGAAACCCACCACTGATTGGCCCTTTGTTCTTGATCTTATTTCCATACTTATGTGGACTTCCTCCCAAATATACTACCTGCACTTAAGTCTGTGTCTCATGGCCTGCTTTGGGGAACCCACAGTAAGACATTTTCTCTGGTTTTGGTGACTCAGCCCCATGGCATTTCCCAAGGATGACAGGCTGAGGAAGAGAGACTGCCAGCCTCTAATAAATTCTTGCTCCTCCCTCTTTCTTCCTTCTTTTTCTTCCTCCTTCCCTCTGATTTCTCTCAGATATCACATCAAATGCAAACTGGACATTACATTTTTAAACAACTTTATTGAGGAATAATTGATACAAAAGAACTACATATATTTAATGTGTACAATTTGATGAGTTTCGACATACGTATACACTCATGAAACTAACACCACAATCAAAGTAATAAACATGTCCAACACTTCCCAGTTTCCTTGTGTTCTTTTGTTTTTGCTTCTTTGTTTGTTGTGGTGAGAACACTTAACATGAGATCTACCCTCAACAAATTTTGAAGCACAGAGTGGGTAAACCTTGTGGATATTATGCTAAGTGAAATAAGCCAGTGACAACAAGACAACTACTGCATGATTCAACTTCCAAGAAGGGTCTAAAATAGTCACTCATAAAGCAAAGAAGATAATAGTGGTCAGTAGTGGGGAAAATAAAGAGCTATTCAGATGAGTATAAAGTTTCAGTAGGTTAGGTGAATAGATTCTAGATATCTGCTATACAACATTGTACCTGTAGCACTGCATTTTATAACTTTAAAAATTCTATCTCGTACATAGGTAAGTTCAAACTTCTACTAGAGATCCTTTGATTCATGACAAAAAAATCAAAGATCAACTTTTTTCAAAATGAAATACTAAGGTATACTCTACATTCTATTGTTCGGCAATGGTCTAAGAGGAAGAAGGTGACGAGAATCTCTTGTGGAACACCTTTGATTTCAGGCCACAAGGCAGTTCCTTGGGCAGAGTTGCAAGCCACATCTGACACAGCCAGCATTCTTTTGGCCCCCTCACTGTGGCTTGCAGGCAACAGGCAGACATTTTTATTCTAATTCTGATTGTGCTCTGCCTAAACTTTCTGAGGCCACTATCAGAGAGGAAATGATACTGATCTCACACAATGAAAATAAATGGACAAAAAGATCTTTAAAAAAATAAATGAATGGCCAAAACCAATATTAGGTGGCCCATGGACATGAACTCCCAGTGTGATCATGCATGCTTCCAGGTTTAGATCTGGAAAAAAAAAAAGGTAGAGAAGGGATTGCATATTTAAATATGATTATATTTTAATGAATTCAGTATTTAAAAAATTAAATAGATACACAAGAGAGGAAAGAGGAAAAAAGGAAAAATAACTACAGTGAAAAATAGAATATTTACTTCCTAATTTCCTTTTTTTCACACATAGTTGTAGATATCTCGCACTTTTAGTAAAAATTGAAGATGCAGGAGACACTAAAAAGACCTATTAGATTAGTAGTTTTTAATAATTAAAATTATTCAAAATATTAATAATTAACAAGAAAATTAAAAGGCAAATATTATGCCTTTAAGAATAGTCTTTTTATTTCTGTTCCCTAGATTCTGAAGATAAATTACATAAATATATGTTTTGTAAATTTGGATATAATTTGGTCACTTGTTCTAATTAAATAGTCTCAGGCAGTCACCAACTGCCCTAATTAGATATATTTTTAGCCATTAAGAAGATTCACTCTGCTCCTTTTCTGTTTTAATCTTATCATCTATATAGGAATATTTTTCCAAAGACTGAACATATTGAAGAAGTTATGTATTTGCACCTGTGGGAATATAAGAATCAAAATGCGTTGTGAGGAAGGAAATTTGCACTACTGGAATCTTGCAAGGCTGGTTTCTTTTTACTATTCCATGTAGTGTGGAATGGCATGACCTCCAAACTATGACAAATTTGAAAGGCACATTTATAAAATGTTGAATTCTACAGCTGTATCTGAGTGCTTTCTATGGAGGGCTTTTTATAATTCAAATCTTGGTGTAGCTGGTCTTCCAAGTGTTGTTTTACAAAGGATCTTCTCTGAGTTCAAGAAGAATTCAAGTAGTTCACAAAAAGTAGGGTTATTTTTCAATGTACCTATCTGGTTCTTTTTAGAACTCCATGAGAGACAAGGGATATCAATGACAAATCCAATGATGGCTGTGAACCCTCTATTGATGGCATCGGGTCAGCAGAGGATCCCACTGATTCCTTCACCATTTGGACCTCCATTTGTGGACAGGTATATCTCTCCAATACAATAACCCAATCAAAGGAGGAAATGGATTATCATTTACCCCTAGTGTCATTCTAATGAGATCCCAGTGAACAGTGGTGCAGTAATTCAAATGAGGTCACACTGCTACCCTTACCTTCCACACTTCTGCTACCACTTCTGACCTACTCACTCAGCAAGTAACTAGCAGGTACTTAAAATGTGACAGGCATTGTGCAGGTGCAAACATGGGTGTATTGCTCTTCTAGGGTTGCCACAATAAAATGCCACAGGCTGGAAGGCTTAAATAGCAGAAATTTATTTCTCCAGTTCCAGAGGATGGAAGTCAAAGATGAAAGTATCACCTAGTGGGCTTCCGGTGAGGCCTTTCTTCCTGACTTCTAGGCACACATCTTCTCACTGTGTCCTCTACTTTTCTCTAGGTGCAAATGCAGAGAGCGCTTTAGGGTCTCTTCTTAAAAGACATCAGTCCTATACTAGGGCCCCACCTTATGATCTCATTTAACTTTAATTGCCTCTTTGAAAGCCTTCAATGTGTGAATTTAGGGGGAAACAGGTAAGTCCATAACAATTGGATACCCTAGATTTTCTGTGACAGAATTATTCTTTCTTTTTACTCAGAGTACAATTAAAAGTTTGGTTTTTTTTAATTAAATTCTTTTATCAGTACATTGTAGGTATACAACACAATTACATTTCTCATTGGGAATTGTACCTTTACATAATGCATCTTTGTTCTTA